GGGTGGAGGGCAAGGCAGGGGTGAACACAGCGGGGTGGAGGGCAAGGCAAGGTCAGTGGGCAGACACTGCTTAACTTGCCAGACTGACTTGGAAGCCTAGTGATGACCCAGGATGTGTCAAGAGGGGAACCTTTTTACTGTATATGTGGTTGTCCAGTCCTTGTTCTGCTTTGAGACAGCAGGGTCTCATGTTGCCTGGACTGGCCTCGGACGTAATACATAGTCAAGGGTGACGTTGAATTCCTAATTCTCTTCTACCTCCTAAGTACTGGGATCACAGGCGTAGACGACCAATTTTTAAGCTTGGTGATGAAGTCAGGATTTTTTTTTTTTTTTTAAGACAGGTTTCTCAGTGTAGCTTTGGAGCCTTTCCCAGAACTCAATCTGTAGCCCAGGCTGGCCTCCAACTCATAGAGATCCACCTGCTTCTGCCTCCCGAGTGCTGGGATTAAAGGCGTGCGCCGCCACCGCCGTACTGAAGTCAGGATTTTTTAAGACAGAGTTGGTAGAGCGTTTGATCTATAGCACCAGACAAACCAATGAAGGAACAAAACCACCCAACTGGAGTCTTGTTTTGCTAGCACAGCAAACAGCCCCACACGGCGCCTCCCAGGTTGTGTGTGTAGCGCTCGCTGCTTGGTCTGTGCTGCTGGCCGCTGTTATTTCTGCCTTCGCCTATTCCAACGCTGGTCTCCTGCAGTGGTGAGCCTTACTCTGGGCAGCCTGTGTGTCTGCACTTGCTTTCAACTCCAGTGTCCAGCTAGAATTGCAAATCTCCCTCCTTGTGCGTCACAGCTCCAGCAAGTGACTCACACTTGTGGCAGGTTCTTCGCTTTCTTCAAGACCAGGGTCACTCTTCGCTCAAGCTGGCCTTAACTCGCTGCGAAGCCTAGGTAGTTCTTGAACTCAGAGCAGTCCTCCTGACATAGCCTCTTGAATGTTGGGATTACAGACATGAGCCACCACAGCCAACCTCTTTTTTTTTTTTTTTTTTTTTTAACTTAAGCCGGGTGGTGGTGGTGCATGCCTTTAATCCCAGCATTGGGAGGCAGAGACAGGCAGATCCTGGTCTACAGAGCAACTTCTGTGACAGCCAGGGCTACACGGAGAAATTCTGTCTCAAAAAAACAAAAACAAAAACAAAATAGGATTATTTTATGTGTATGAATGTATTACCTGCATATATGTGTGTGCATCGTGTGCATGCTGGTGTCTGTGGAGGCCAGAAGAGAGCATAAGATCCTCTGGAACTATGAAGATGCTGGGGACCAAATCTAGGTCCTCTATAGGCATAAGTGATCTTAACTGCCACGCCCCCTCTCCAGCCCTTTTAAAGGTATTTATTGCTATTGCATGCAGGTGCATCTGTGTCTATAACTACAGGTGCACACGTGCTATGGCACAAGTGTGGAGGTCCATCCTGGCAGTTTTCGGGCGTCGGCTGTCTCCTCCACCAATGGCTCCAACGTCAGGCTCGGGTCATCAGCCTGTGGGGCGGGCACCTTTACCCGCTGGGCCACCTCAGCTACCTGGTTTTTGCTTTACAGTGTCGGGTTGATGTTGGGTATGATGGTGCATACCTAAATCCCAACAGCGGAGGCAGGAGGATTAGAAACAAGTGCCTAGTGAAGGCTAGATGTGGTGGTGTTTGGCTTTAATCTCAGCACTCAGGAGGCAGAGGCAGGAGGATCTCAGTGAGTTCAAGGCCAGCCTGGTTGTAACATTTTTCTTTTTGATGACAAGATATTAATGTAGAGGGCGTAGTAGCTGCATGAAGGTAGCTTCTCTATTTGGATATTAATACACAGGGGCACCAGCATTTAGTTGAGCCCTCTGTAAGTATAAAATGGTTTCTCTGAAATATTTTTTTTAGATTTGTCTATTTTCTTTATTATTTTATGTGTATGAATGTTTTTTTCTGAATGTATGTATGTACACCATGAACATGGTGCTCACGAAGGTCAGAAGAGGTTTTCAGATCCCTTGGAACTAGAACTACAGATGGTTGTGAACTGCCATTGTGGGTGCTGGCACTCAAACCTGGGTCCTCTGCAAGAGTAACAAATGCTTTTAACCACTGAGTGCCATATGTAAACGGAGGTGGAGCTTTTCTGTCCTGACCGCCCAGGCCCAAACAATCATACAAAAGCTTATTTTGATTACAAATGTTTGGCCAATGGCTCAGGCTTATTAACTAGCTCTCACATTTAAATTAACCCATTTCTACTAAAATATGTATTGCCACGTGACTGTGACTTTACTGGTCCTCTGGCATCTCACTTCTTGGGCGGCTGGCTTGTGTCTTCTTCAACTCCATCCTACTTCGAGTCCTCAGTTTGACTGTTCCGCCTAACTTTATCCTGCCTTGCCATAGGCCAGACAGCTTTATTATTAACCAATGAGAGTACTGTATATTCACAGCATACAGAAGGATCATCCCACAGCACACTTACACATCATAGTCCCATCATCGAAAGAAGTCAGGACAGGAACTCAAACAGGGCAGGAACCTGGAGGCAGGAGCTGATGCAGAGCCCCTGGAGGGGTGCTGCCTACTGCCTTGCTCTCCATGGCTTGCTCAGCCTGTTCTCTTAGAGCACCCAGTATCTCCAGCCTAGGGTACCCACCTACAGTGAGCTGGGCCTTCCCCCATCAGTCAAGAAGATCCACCACAGGCCAAGGTGATAGGGTGATTTTCTCAACTGAAGTTTGATTTTTCCAAGATTACTCTAGTTTATGTCAAGTTGACATGAAGCTAACCAGCAGAGCGGGCCAAAAGCAATGTGAGTCTGGCTCATTTTTTGCCTTTGGTTCATTTGGTGGTTGTTTTGAGGGCCTCTGCACAGGCTGTGGGAACACACACTGAATCCTGCCCTTTGGGGTGGGAGAGAAAGATGACCAAAGAAGTCGGCTAGGCTATTTCATATGGATGGTACGAAGGAGATCATGGCTGGAGGTGGGTGAGGTACGAGAAGCAGAAGCCATGGCAGAAAGCACCTGTCAATGGGGGGGTGGTTCCAGACTCCCAGGAGAAGGTCCCCCCTGGGTGGGGCCGTGGATACCTCACCTGCTGCTTCACGTCCTCACTGCTCTCGCCCCCAACAGGCATCGTTGCCAGCAACACTCGGGACAACAACACGGGCGCCACCTACCCACACCTGAACTTCAGCATTCCCATAACGGTGCTCCAGCCAGCCCTGCAGCGGTACAGCCAGACCGGCGACCTGGGCGGCCTCCGAGAGCTGGACCACGCCACTGAGCCGGTCAAGGTGGTGTGGCGGCTGCAGCGGCCGCTGCCGGAAGTCCCGCGGAGCAAGCTCTGAGAGTGTCCCTCTTCCGGGACGAGGCAGACCACTTTATGGCTGTGAAATGTGCAACTTTGACATCTGAGTCGCCTGCCAGGGCGCGGCCCAAGCCACCCCCTCATCCTCACCCGCTGACTGTGCAGCACTGTGGGTCTCTGATCCACTTCGGGGTGCTTTCCTGAGCCTGACTCGCCCGTCATTGTTCCTTCTGGGGATTCTGGTCCATCGGGCAGATGCTGCTGGAAGGGCGGCCCAACACCACCCCACCCCCACCCCCACCCACCCCCCTTCCTGGTTCAGCATCTCTCCTCCTTTCAGCCCCTGGTCACCTGAAGTGGCCATCCCCAGGGCTCTTGCCCGATACTCCGTATTCGGCAGGTAGAGGACTCTGCTTGGAAGCCCCAGAGTCTCAGCGGCCAATAACAGGCGTGTCTTCCCATTGCTACATTGATATTCAGGCAAATACCCGAAAGTCACCTGGGCCTTCGCTCTGACACAGTGCCTTCATTTTCTAGCCCGGAGCCCGTGATCTTGCGAGTGGTGTGTGTGGTGGGGGCTGGGAATAAACAGTCTGAATGGCTTCACTTCTCTGTACCGGCTGCTTTTCCTCCAAGGCACAGTGGGGAACAGGCCAGCCCCTGGCAGGGGACCCTGCTCCTTTGCTTCCCAGCTGGTTTCCTCTCCCTGTGCCTTGTCTGCCAGCCTGGCCCAAAGCTGCGTTCATCCATGCCACCTGGGGCAGGAAAGGGTCCTGGAAAGGCCTGGCCTGGCCTGACAGCCAGTCTGTGAAGAGGTCCGGAATGCAGAGGCTCTAGGTGTGGATGGAGACAGGGTCAGAAGTGAATGAGGAGGACTGAGGGTGTGGCCTGGTGGTGGGTCACTTGCCCTGGTATGTCAGACCTTGGGTTTGGATCTCCTGTAACACACACACACACACACACACACACACACACACACACACACACACACACACAAAACCACCAAAGCAACAACAAAGACAAGTAAATAAAAAGTGACTGGGGGCCGGTCGGTGGTGGTGTACACCTTTAATCTCAGCAGAGCCAGACAGATCTCCGTGAGTTCGAGGCCAGCCTGGTCTACAAAGTGAGATCCAGGACAGGCATCAAAACTACATAGAAAAACCCTGTCTCAAAAAAACAAAAAGTAATTGGGGGCTGCAAATGTTTCTCAGTTGGCAGAATGCTTTCCTAAAATGCATGAAGCCGTGTGTTTGATCCTCAGCACTGAGCATGGAGGCCCATGCCTGCAGTCCCAACACTAGAGAGATGAAGGTAAGAGGATCAGAATCTGGGAGGCGGAGGCAGGAGATCTCTGTGAGTGCGAGGCCAGCGTAGTTTACATAGCAAGTTCCAGACCTCTTAGGGCTACATAGTGACACCTGTCTCTGTTGAAAACAAGCACGCACATGCACACACACGCAATCAGAATGGAACAGGATATTTCTGCATCCTGACTACCAATCCTTCCTGCTGCTGCTGCAGCCACCCAGAAGTTCAGAGACAGAGTGAGGCCTTTGTCAAGTGGTGAACCCGGATCTCCAGTTTCAAAGACTCTGGACACTGCTGGGTGGGCAGTGAGGCGTGACATGGAAGAGCCTGGGGACAGACACTGGAGGAACTATGGAGACCCTGTCCTGGACCAAATATTCTGCTTGGCAACAAGCTGTTGGGCCACCACTAGATAATCTTTGAGGGGCTGGCAAGATAGCTCAGGCAATAAAGGCTTGCTGCTAAAGCCTGATGACCCGAGTCCAATCCCTAGAAGGCATGCAAAGCTGGAAGAGAGCCAATGCCACAGAATTGTCCTCTGCCCCCACATGTGTGCCTATGTGTCGCGCACGCGCGCACACACACACATGCACAATAATAATACAAGTTTTTTTTTTTTTTTTTTTTTTGAGACAGGGTTTCTCTGTGTAGCTTTGCACCTTTTCCTGGAACTCACTCTGTAGCCCAGGCTGGCCTCAAACTCACAGAGATCCACCTGACTCTGCCTCCCAAGAGCTGGGATTAAAGATGTGCGCCACCACCGCCCGGCAAGTTTTTCAGAAGAGTATCTTGGCTTTCATGTTTTGAGACAGTCCTTGGAGGTGGGACTGACATGTTGATTTTCTCATCACCATGACAGAATGCCTAGCATAAACAAAGTGAGAAAGGGTTTGTTCTGGCTCGGTTTTACGTGTGTCCATCCATCATGGAGAGTGGAGGGCAAGGTGGAATAGAGCAGTCCATGCCCTTGCATGCAGGCAGCAGAGAAAGGATCCAGGGCAGGATATGACCCCAGGTCATGCCCCTACCTCCCCAGGGCTGGATTTCAGCCACGCTACCATATTTGCCCTTTATGCAGGTACTGCGGATCCAAAATCAGGTCCTGTTTGTGAGACAAGGACTTTAACTACTGAGCCATCTCTCTGGCTCACAAGTTTTTGTGGTTTTATTTTTGTTTTTGTTGTTTTGTTTTGTTTTTGTAAGCTGATTGCATGGTCTCAAACATGTTGAAGATGTTGCAATGTCCGAAGGTTGGACCTGCCTGCATCTCTTTGCAGATGCCCTCCAAGTCACATCCAGAGACCTCTACTAATCTGGGCATCTATTAATCACATCAAGTTGATGGTCAAGATTAACCATCACAAACCTAGCCCTTGTCAATCTGAAACCAAACACATCACTTTAAACCATAGCATCTGCCATGCCTCCCCTTCCAGCTCGCTCTCCCTCCCAGGATTTTGAATCCCATTATGGGACAATCCTTTTGTACACTATGAAGATGTGTCTCTGCCAAGACACCTTCTGATTGGTTTAATAAAGAGCTGAACAGCCAATAGCTAGCCAGGAGAGGATGGACAAGACTTCTGGGAAGAGATAAGAACTCTGGGAAGAAGAGAGGTGGGATTCACCAGTGAAACATGAAGCATGTTGGACATACAGTAGTGAGGAGCAATAACCAAGCCACGTGGCAGAATGCAGATTAATATAAACGGGCTAATTTAAATTTTAACCAATTCTAGTTGGGAGTAAGCCTAAGCTAAGGCCAAGCTTCCATACTTAATAAGAAGTCTCCCCCATGTCATTATTTGGGAGCTTGTGGTCCAAAGAAAGCCTGATGACATCCTCCCCTGCAGGCTGCCAGTAGGGATCTCCTCCATCCATGCCCATGCCTGGCTCCCCCAGGAAGCCTTCCTCAACTTTCCCAAGCTCCAGGACTGAGCAGGTTAACCATCTCCATCAGTCTCTGTCCAATGTTACATGGCATGTGTAGTGGGTAGCCATTCCAGCTTTGATCTGGAAGTTCCAACCCTCACTGAGGCTTAGGTAACTGTCATGCCTACAAGGCGGGGCCAAGAGAGGACCCTGAAGACCTGAGATCCAGATGCGCCAGCTCTCTTGGTTCCTGGACCCTGGACGCTAGAGATAGACCAAGCAGAGTTCTCCAGAGAACACTGCTGGACTGCGCCACACCTTTCTCAGACCCTGTAAACTATCCCTTCACTTGTAAGTTACCCCACAAAATAAACCTCCCTTTTAACTTTGTGGAGTGGCCTTAATAATTTCACCAATAGGCATGTGTCCAGTCATGTTCTCATACTTCTGTACATCACTTGCTCAGTGGTTCTTTAGGGACCATTCCTTTCCTGCTGGGAGACTTCCTGACTTCAAGGCGCCTCTATCCAAGGCTCAGTTCCTCTGCTTTACTAGTTGAGTGGCATTGCCCAATTTTCCTTGAAGGGGCCCCAGTGTCTCCAGCTGCAAAGAGCAGATAACTAAAACTGACCTTGTAGCAGGTGTGGTGGTGCATGCCTTTGATCCCACACTTTTTCTCTGTGTAGCTCTGGCTGCCCTGGAACTTGCTCTGTAGACCAGGCTAGCCTCGAACTCAGAAATTCTCCTGCCTCTGCCTCTCAAGTGCTAGGATTAAAGGCATGGGCCACTATCACCCAACTATATCTTAATTATAACAACAACAACAACAACAACAACAACAACAACAACAAAATGTCTTTAGCATTCTGTGGTGGCGAGTACCTTTAGTCCCAGCACTCGGGAGGCAGAGGTAGGTGGATCTCTATGAGTTCATAGCCAGTCTAGTCTGCCTAGTGAGTTCCAGAATAGCCAGGGCTATGTAGAGAAACTCTGTCTCAAAACAAATGAACAAACAAACAACAACAAAAAAAGAAAGAAAAAAAATTTGCCTCATGTAGCCCTGGCTGGCCTTGAACTCACTATGTAGCCAATAACAACCTTAAATTTCAGATCATCCTGTTTCCACTTCCTGAGTGCTAGGATTACAAGCACGCACCACCATGCCTGGTTTATGTGGCGCTAGGGATTTAACTCAGGGCTTGCTTTATACGTGCAAGCACTCTCTCAATTGAGCAATGCCCAAAGCCTCTACATCTTAATTTTAAATAGTAACATTTCAAACATCAGTGGATTCCTGGGGAACCAGGCACTAGGCCAGTGCCAGAAACTGAGGTCCAACAGTCTAGCAAAGTGACTTCTCTGCTTGTGATGGTTAATCATTGTCACCTCGACAGGCTTTAGGATCACACAGGAGACAGACTTCTGGCCATGTCTGTGAGGATGTTCCCGGAGACCTTTGGCTGAGGCGGGAAGACCTGCTCTAACATGAGTGGCGCCATCCCAAGGGTTGAGGTCCCAGACGGAGCCAAAAGGAGCAGCAGGGGAGCGGAGCATTCATCTCTCTGCTTCCTGGTTGGCTGGGAGGTAAGGAGGGGCGGGGTCTCAGCTGCACCTCACTCTTGCCACCGCGGAACACTGTAGTTGGACTTTCTTTGAACCATCTGCTCCTCAATAATGACACAGAGACTTTTTATTAATTATGAAAGCTTGGCCTTAGTTTAGGCTTGTCCCCAACTACATCTTATAACTTAAATTAACCTGTTTATATTAATCTGCATCTGCCATGTGGCTCGTTACCCCCTCCTCCATAATGTAAGTTCCACTTCCTTCTTGTCTCATTGGCCTCTCAGATTCTTCGCAGAGTTCCTATCTCTTCCCAGAATTCCTGCCTAGCTATTGGCCATTCAGCTCTTTATCAAACCAGTCAGAAGGTGTCTTAGGCAGGTGAGGTAAGACAGAAACACATCTTCACACAGCGTGATCAACTATCCCACAACAGGACCCCTGTGGCTGTGTGTTCCCTGCTGTGATGGACTGTACTCTCAGTCTGTGAGCCACAGTAAGCCCATGGTATCTCAAGTTGCTCAGTCTGATAGTTTGTCGAAGCAGTGAAAAAAAGTAACACACATCCAGAGAACTGGTGTATGGTGTCCTTGTCCTCTTCATGTCAGAGTCAGACACCTGCCTTAGTCTCTCGGTTAGGGGAATAAAAGGAGATAAAAACCATTCGGCAGTTGCAGAGCCCAGGATGAATCCAGGGTGTTTTAGCAATCCTTTTGTCACTGTTACCAAAATACCCGACACACATCCTAAGGGAAGAGAGGTTTACTTTGCCTCAAGGTTCCAGGCTGCTTGGCCAGAGCATCATGGCGGCAAGAGCATGTGGTAGAGGAAGTTCCTCACTTCTCCGTGGAAGAGGTTGG